TGCTTGCAAAATTCGGTTTTTTATTCGTATAAATCAATGGAAATGCAGCTCTTTACGAATGTTTTTATCTCCATTTGGACATTCATTAGTTTTATTGAAGCGTTGTCTTTAGAAAATGTAATTTTTTAATTTAGATTTTTTGTAGTAAATTGATGGAGACTGCTTTCTCATGAATATTTAATCTGCAGTCATGGATTCATTAGTGGACTTTACATTTTGGAGTGGAAAAGAAGAACAATTTGGAAAAGCATTTTTTTTATTGTTTATTTTATTTTTTCAGATTTTATTTTTTTACATCAAAACAGCTTGGAAATTGAGTAAGTCCTAGTTTTCAGGCGATTTAGAAGAAAGATTTTATGAATATTTTTTACGACACTTTCGGCGGAATCTTTATTGAACCATTTTATTTTGAAAATGGAGATTGTTTATTGTTAGAAATAAATGAAGACTCAGCTTTTGCAGATTTAAGGGCAGTGAGATTTTTTATACATTGAAGATCGATTATATTATGTGTCTAAAAACAAATAAATAGTGCAAAAAATTGATTACTTATTCTTCATTTGGCTCGTAGACGCAGCAAGTGAAAGTGTTTAAAGTAGTCCAGGGCCTCCAATTGTCGAGCTGCAGAGTTTTTTTTCAAAATTTTGAAAAAATGTGTATCATAACAATTACGAGCGAGTTTTTTATGAAAAAGATAAATCGTCTAACACTCTATTTTTTTCTTTATGTAGCATTTTCTTGGAAATAGTACAATCAGAAAATTTGTTTATTTAAATTTGGAAAATTCAATCCAATCAAATGGATTGGTTTATTGAAATGACTCGTAATAAAGTATTTTATTAAAATGTTTTTTTTTTATGCGAATAAAATAAAATCGCTCAGACAATAGAGAGAACGAATTCACCAACATCTGATAATCTTTAATTTGAAATGAATGAGTTCAGAAATTAATATCGAAACGAAACGATTAACGAAAAGATTATTGAAATTCATAAAAAAGACTTCAAATAAAGAATTTTATTTAATTAAAAAACGTCATTTTTCTGGGTGTAAATTAGAACGAAAATAAATAAAAAAACTATATCCGCAAAATCAACAAAGAACTCCTCAGGCTCAATTCGTATCCCAACATTAACTTTTTTTCTCAACAGAGACATTATTGAAATTAATAAAAGAACTTCAAATAAAGAATCTTATTTAATTAAAAACTGTAATTTTTCTGGTTGTAAATCAGAACAAAAATCAATAAAAAAAATATATCCGCAAAATCAACAAAGAACTCCTCAGGCTCAATTCCTATTCCAACTTCAACTTTTTTTCTCGTTTTCGAAAATGAAAGTGCAGCGGTATTCTTTGCATACTATGTAACAAGGTCAAACCCATGAGGTAATCCCCGTTGGGGCACGAAGGCCCATTATGACACGCCCGTCTGGGTCCCCTCAATACACCTTTGGCATATGTTTACACTCATTGCGATTATAATTCGTTGCATCGTTATGCTGAATATTTTCACGTGACCCATGTGTACAAATCAATTGCCGCACGTCAAACGAACACTCGAAACCCGAACGTTCCCCGAATAGCAATCCTTCGCCAGAAAATTGGGACAAATCATCGAGTCAGTGAGAATGACTGTTTATTTTGTAATTTTAATTACAGAAGGCGAACGCTTTAATCTTCTTGACTATTTAATTAGGGGCCCCCCTGGGGAACAATCGGTCCTGGCCCTCACCAAAACAAAAAGACACTATCGAGGTCATCTAATCATTACGAAATACCGTTTATTACATGGGAAGTTGTATACGATATTTTTGTTATCCTTTCTTCTTAAATGCTGGATCAGAATGTCGGTTGCGTCATATTGCCGAAAACAAAGCACAATAACTTTAATTGAAGGGGGGAGATAACACGTTGAATCTGCATAATTATGTAGGTGTGTGAATTAAAAAATCACGCAATGAATAAAATCGACAATGACGAAAAAATAATTTATGCATTTTTTTCAAAAAAAGTGTAAATTTATGTAAAAAAATGTTTTCAAATTAATTCTTTTCACTTTGTTTATTGATTAATCCATTGTACATTCAAGTTTTTTGAGTCTAAATTTTTCCACCGAAATTTACAGCTGTTTTGAATAACAAAATCCTTTTGCATTTCTTTGAAGGAATTGATATTTATTGAGTTATAATTTTTTAAAAATCACTTACCTAGCCCAACCTAAAAATTTTGATTTCGTAAAATTAAAAAAAAAAATTTTGTTTTGTTTTAATAGTATTTTAAGAGATACTAGGAACACTTCTACATAATCATATTTAATTTTCATCGAAATCGAAAAAAGCCGATTGAAATATTATGGAACGCCCCAGAAAGAGTAATTTATAAAAAAAATTTAAAGAAATAAAAATTTCTATTTAAACTATTTTTTAACCCTCCTAAACATGCTCAATAAGCACCGCGCCGCCCACTTCCGAATTTTTTTTTTCAATAAAATGAGAATAAATAAAAATCTGAAAAAAATACAATGCCTACTTTTGACTATATTGAATTTATTGGCAATTTTTATTGCGTTCATATTCGCATAGATTGAGTACCAACAAAGTCTGAAAATTCGAATGGCTTAGAATCCCCGTTTTTAACCTCTAAAAATCTCATTTCGACACGAAATCAAATCAACTTTTTGCATTAAATCGCCACTTTTTTTCTAGTTCTATTACCATTTTCTATTCATTAGAAGTTGAAACCTTCCTCTAAACCCAAAATTAATCTTTTTTTTCAAACTTTTTTTTTCACAAATGGTAAAATAACACAGCCAGTTGACTCGGTTGGCAGGCGAGCGCCAGTTCAGGAGGGTTAATCCACCATATTTCTTTTATTTTTAACTAGGGGGCTTCGTCCCCTGCTCGCTTCGCTCGCCAACCCCGGGGGGCGTGGCCCCCCCGCTCGCTTCGCTCGCTCCTCCCCCCAACCTTCTTGAATTTGGTTAGATGTTCCTATTATATAGAAAAAAAAATTTATAAAATGATTGACCTCCTTTGAAAAAAAAAGATAGGGGGGGGGG